TCCACTCTTGGGTCCGTCGGGCCGAGGCTGGTGCGGGTCCTGGCGGCAGCGGGCCGCGCGAGCTCCAGGCGAGCTGCGGGGGGCCACCGCGCGCCTAAGCCCGGGGCGGCGGGGGGAGCGACCCGCCCTAGGGCTCCGCGGGAATCGCCTCGGCGGTTGCGGGAGGGGGACGGGCCGCTTGCCTCGGGAATGAATTATCCTTGGTCATTTATTTTAAGACGTGAACTCCTCCAGAACTCAGCAGCTGCTGTGGCCTGTAGCCCCAACTCCAGGCAAGCGGCCAAGCTGCTCTCTATGAAGGATCGAGACTGGTTCCATCCGGTTACAAGTACACTTTTTTTTTTTTTTCTCTAGCCAGCTGATGGAGCGCTCCCCTCGCCATTCACAACTCTCAGCAGGCTGTCTCACCGAAGCTTTGCGGCGCCCTCCCCAGATGTCGCGAAGCACACGCCTCCTCCAGGCAGGCCTCCGGTGGGATCCACGGGACTCCTAATACGGTCGGTGGGCTCTGACTTGCCCCTTCCCGGTTCCTTTCTCTATGCGGCAGTTCGAAAATCCATTTTGTAATTATTTCCAAACAGAAACAGACGGCTAAGAACGACGGCAAAGAATTTAACTGAAGTCAGGCACCACATTTTTGGAAAGATTGTCCCTTGAGACTGCGAGAGGGAGGGGGGATCCCCCTTTACAGTTCGCGCTATTTCTTCCAACTTTGTGGTCCACTAGCTTCCAGAGAGCGGCGCGGACACAGCCCTGAAAGGGGATCGGGCGGAGCGCGCTGCGGCTCCCGGGCTCTCCGGCTCTCCGGCGTGGGGTCCCCGCGCCCCATCTCCACCCCGGCTCCGCAGCGGAAGCCGAGCCGGGAACCTCCGGCCGCCGCGCCCTGCAGCAGAGAGACCCAGAGATGAAAGGATGCGACAGGAGGGCCCGAAGTGCTCCGCGCAGACGGGGTGCGGGGACCCAGCGGGAATTTCGCCGGCTGCGCGACTTTGCCTGGGTTTAGGTCCCGCGTCCCGCCCACACCCCTCCCGCCGCGCACCTGGAGCCGGGGCAGTGCGCGCCGGAGACGGTCGCGGGGACGCTCCATCCCCGCCAACCCCCCGCGGCCAGAGTCTCCAGCCCCGCAGCCTTCCTGCGACGCGGTGGAAGGTGCTAATGAGACGGTCAAAGGTCCGGCGGGCGCGGCGAAGCTCAGAAGGTCACAGCCCTCCCTGATCCATCAGTATTTCTCCAAATACGTTAGAGACGGCGACTGGCTTTTCTCCGTTTTGGAACCTCCGGCGGCGCACCCACGAGGTGACGGGACCGAGGCCGGTGCGGGTCGTGCCAGTCACGTGCCGGGCTCTGTTAAAGTGAAAGGAAGAAAGGCACCGAGGCTTTTTAAAAGAACGCGACGAACCGCTCGCCTAATTTTATGAGAACAGTTACAGTGAAGAAATTACATTTCCAATTTAATAAAGCTGAGTTCTTTTAGTCGTTCGCACAGCTCTTGAGTTGATGACGTTGGATTGTAAAACTTAACTTTGCAGGAGAAAAAAGACTGCTCCCCTATCAAATTATAACGCCAGGGCCACAAATAGTACATTTGGCTTTTAAACACACGCAGTTGTTGTTAAACAAAACGTTTTTCACTACCTGGAACATACACAGAACACTAAGCACGGCTGTATTTTAGAAATTATCATAATACATTCCCCTCTATGAAACAGGAATGTACCCCACGTAAACCAAGAAAGAACAACTAACTCTTTGGGTTAAATATTCTTTATTCCTAGATGTGGGTTGGAGAGTAATAAACTGAATATTTGCAAGAAGTCATTAAATATCAAGATTACTATGCTGTATAATTTTTCTAGTAAAACATAACTTACCTTTCTATATCTTGTTATATGAAATTCATTTATAAATTTCACAATTTTATGAAACATAATTCACTTATGTCATTTTTTTTTTGGTAGCAAAATGGAAGTCTTAGTGTTTAAGCACATATTATAATATCACTTACTTGGATTTATTTTCTATCTTTTAAAAGCCCCTCTCCCAAATGAGATCTTTTTGTTTAAACAGCAAATTATATAAAAAATATTAAATCTGAAGGAATTAGCTATTTGGAAGTCTTTTGACAACTTAGAGATTATATTTGTTGTTTTTCCCTTTCTAATTTACATAATTTACATATTTGAATATATATTTATGTGACTTTCACTGTTGTTTTCCACATAAGTCCTGCATATCAGGCAGGAAAATTAATTTTGAAACTCTTATTTACTTTTAAAATGTTACACATAGTTTGAGGTGAGTAAACTAAATTTAGATTTTTTTGTCACAATGATAGAGCAAATACAACTAGTACTATATTGTTGATATTAAAAGTCAAAACCTTTTAGCCTGTGAAAATCACCTACCTACTTTCTTTTGATTTTTATTTTTTAAAAAGTACGTTGAATTCTTTGGTCAGGCTCTATATAATGCGGCCTCAGTAGCTTTTATCATAAATATTACTATTCAGCTTATAGAACTAGATTTATTCCATTTCAGGAGAACTTTTGAAAAAAAACAAGCATAAAAGTGAAAAGACAGTTTCCCTACCTATTCACACTCCAAACTTCCTATCCCCAATGCAGCAGAAATAATCCTTTTATTCCATTAAAATGGTCACTAACCTTATAATGATAAAAGAATGTTTTAATCTCTTACCTGAAGGAGTCTTGTCAGTGCAGCAGGAACTGCAATGGGGACTGTTCTGTGTTGTCCATTACAGTACAGGGCTCTGTACTGTTTTGCCTTTGTGAAGGCTGAAGTAACAATGTATGACTATTGCCTCCTGGGGCCCTTATGAAAAGGAGATAGATAGCTGGCTCAAATAAATGCTATAGACCTTGACCCAGAGATAGAGTGGAGAAAAACAAATGATTTCACATACCCTAAAAAATAACTGAAATGTTAGTCTAAAATTTGTTTTTCTTGTGTATGTACATATGAATGTTATATTACATCAATGGATATGGAAGAAATAATTTTTAAAATGTTACGTAAGCCTCTTTTATTTTCAGAGCAGCAAAAATCACCTTATAAGCAAAAATCACCTTATAAGCAACTTCCACTTTTGAAGTCTTTGAAATGTGTATATTTTAATTCATAATGCAACTTTCTCATCCTAAAAACTTTTAGGCTTCTTTCAAGCTGGCATTTAAAATGTTTCTATTGTTTAGTAGGTTATATATGTAAGGTTGTATTTTCTATAGATTCTGTCAAAATAAAGTCATTGTTTGGGATTTAATATTTATTTAGATGTGTATGCATATTTGTTTAAAACTATGACCTCTGAAGAGAGTTTTAATTCTATACAACATAAATGAGTTTTATGTAACAAATATATTTAGCTTCAGCTTGAAAGAACCAAGATTGTATATCAACAATGTATTATTGAAACCTATTAGGATATTGCTAATCTAATATCAGCTTGATTTGAAAACAAAACAATGAAGTTCTTCCAATAACCTCGAGTATACTGTTATGTGTGACACACACACACACACACACACACACACACATTTTGCTGATTTTAGAATGGAAAATAATCCTCCTGAGAAAGAAATTTGAGGTGGATTACCTAATTATTTTTTTCCAGCCCAAATTTTAAGGTGCTAAAACATAAGCATATGTTTTGCTTTTTAAAATATTTCCAAAAGAAAGTCCCGGAAATTAAAAAGACGATAGAGAAATACTTTATCTAAAAATTATGATCCTTATTCTGCTTGATGAAATCCCCAATCTTTATTCCAGGAGAAGTATGTTTAGCAGTCCTTTACACTTTCAGTTCTCTGAGTAGAAGCATGGAATGGTATCTTGAAAAAGAATAATATATACTCATACCTAGGCATGCACACTCTTTTCAAAAAGAGGGCTAAGGGGCTTCATAATTTTTGGCAGCAGCAGAAGGGAATAGCAGCATCAAAGCCCAAAGCAAGACGAAAGCTAGTCATGGTTTTCAAGCAAAGGAGAAAGGACGTTTCCCAGGGTACCTTTAATTTTATGGGGAGCAGTGGGGTGAGGAGGGTTGGGCTCTCCCTCTGCTATCTGCATTGTCTGTCTACACAGAGCAGTGATAACACCTCCTGCTCCTAATGAGCTATGTAGATATATTTCTAAGCCTATAAAGTAGACCCCACCGCTTACTTATGAAATAATTTATAACTTTCATTTCAGTTAGGAAACACGTTGCCCCAACACCATATTGTGATTCTATTTTCAATTACATTCTCCATAACGGTCCTCAAATGGACTGATAATCCATCCTTCATTTAACAACTGTTTTTATCTAAGTGCCAGGCACTATTCTAGGAGCACCAGTGAAGAAAACAAACAACATCTTTTCTCTAGGTAGAGTAAGGGCGATTCTTTCTGCAAGTATGGAAATTAATAATTAGGAAAAAAATAAAATAAATAAAATCATGTAGTTTTCAAGCTATCCACCAGGTGGCAAAGTGCGCAAAACGGAGAGCTTAATATGGACCAAAATTTGGTGCAAAGACTAGCATATTTTTATGAAATTTTCCACCATATTTTGTTTAAAATGTCTCTTTTTTAGCACTACAATTAATAGCTAATGGTCACAAGGCATCTTGTGTTCAGTTTTATAAAGCATTCCTTACGAGGGGCTCATCCCTTCAAGGAAAGAAAAGAGTCAGCTGTGTTCCCCAGGGGCCTGTCTACAAGATCCTAAGCTAATCTTAAAAAATTTTGCTTTTTCCCATTTTTCTCTGTGTCCCAAGGTGTAGGGATTATATAAATCTGCCTAAAGGTCTGAACACTTGGCTTTGCAAGCGGCTCCACAGAGCCTTAAATCAATTGTATTCAAACTCACGCAGATAAGCTCAGGTATCGCAGCGTGATTTGCTCATGTTGTCCAAACCACTAAGTTCTCAGAATAACGTCCACACTGAAAAGTAGAGTCAGACATACCTGCCAGTATATACACACATGCAATCATGCATATATTTTGTTTCCAGACATCCCTTAAGTGCGACCTCTCACTTACATTGAAAGAATACAATTATTAATTCAGACCTCTTCTTTGGAATAGAAGATATTCACAAATAAAATTGAGCCTTTATTCATCTTTAGATCTCCCAAAGAGACAAAAAAAAAGAGAAATCTTCCCTTCTAAGAAAAATGGCTTATACAGGATGTAGAAATACTTTTAGTGTGGTTTAAATGTAGAGTTTGAGAAGTTTCCTAATTTCTTACGACCACCACCAGGCCCTGCAAGGTATGACCTCTGCCTTCTTCCCTAAACCCACCTCCTCCTATGGCGCCCTCATTCATTCATTCATTCATTCATTCATTCATTCATTCATTCATGCATTCCTCAAGTATTCACTGACTGTTTCTCATTTCAGTGGCTCTTTTAAGGTACTTGGAAGAGAGAAGCAAAGAAAACAGTTTATTCCTTCATGAAGCTTACATTCTTTTTTTTTTAAAAAAAAAATGTCTTTATTGATTTCAGAGCAAGGAAGGGAGAGGGAAATATAGAGAGAAACATCAATGATGAGAGAGTCATTGATCGGCCACCTCCTGCACACCCCCCACTGGGGATCGAGCCCACAACCCCAGGTATGTGCCCTGACCGGGAATCAAACCGCAGTCTCCTGGATCCTAGGTCGATGCTCAGCCACTGAGCCACACCGGCCAGGCCATGAAGCTTACATTCTATTGTACATGGACCAACTTTGTTTTTGCCTCATGGACTTTGCATTTGCTGATTCCCTTGCTTTGAAACACTCTTATCCAGATCTTCTCAAAGGTGGATATATTTAGACAGATGAACATATACATATACATATATATCACTATGGCCAGTATATCCAGGACTCACTAGCCTGTGACCCCCAAATAAAGTCAAGTTTATCTCCTCAGAGTGTATTTGTGAAGACTAAATGAATTAAGGAATACAAAGCCCTTAAGAGAGTAAAATAAACGTTATCTACTATTTTAATTTTATTACCATTTTGTCAATTAAATATCTCCACAATCTTTCCAGAGATTTCTGAGACTCAGTTCCTTATGGTGTTGACCAAACTAAAAAATAAGCTCCTCTAGAGGAATCCTAACTTACAAAATCTATTTCCAAGATGCTAAAAGATTATTTCCTGCCAGAGCCAGAGCTCTGCTATGCAGAGTGGTACAAATATCCCTGGTTTAACAGTGTGGTTTTTATCGTGGATGTCAATTGGAAAATAATTTAGAGATGTTTTTGATTGGAACCAAATTTTGACCCTTTGGTGCATTTACATTAAAAATGCTCCCACTGCAAAGTGTTTAAACTTTTATTATTGCATTTATCACATTGTATTACAATCAGGGGTAGGGGTGACCATACTTTCTAGTTGATGCCTGTTGTCTTGAAGTACCATCTGGTTTAGCATTTTAGCACTCTCAAAACTATGCTGGTGTAGACAATAAACTCTATAGTCCCCTAAGTTATGGGGCAGGTGCCTGGCTGGAGAGGCTGAAGAGCACTGGGGTGGTCCTAAGTCGGGTGTGGGCCTTTGTGAGAAATTCTTGAATCTGTCTGATTTGCATTCGGAGAAGGGCTTTGAAGGGAAACTTAGACACTAAAGGCTAAAGGCAGAATCAATGGAGGAAAGTCAAGAGGGCCTCAAAGACTGGCTAGGAAACATTATATTCTTGGACAGCGAAGACTGCAGAAAACAGCACCATTTTGGCTCTTTTAGAGTTTGTAGTTGTAATAAGTATATTAGGGGACAGGATCCTGGTCAAGGAATTTAAGGCAATGGGACATAACCCAGAAGATGCTTTGCGACCCTAAACCTCAGTGAGGTGTGAAGGCACTTATAGTGGAGTGACTAAGGACTCTGAGACACATGCAAGTGGGAGGTGAGGGCTAATTTGCATGTCTTAATCAGTGCAAGGTTTAATCTGGTTTGGTAGAATTTTAGTTTTGGGTACTCCAATTATAGAGTCAATTACAGTCTTTTCATTAAAAAGAGAATATTGGTAAGTAGGATGCCTCCTGTCCTGGCAAGAGGACACTTTTCTGAACAGAGAGTTATTGTGAAAGATTCTTCAAATTGAAACATGTTATATTTTATATCGAAGGCATATTATTAAAGGACTTTGAGATTTTTGAATATTTGATTTGAGAACCCTTGTCAATCAATCTGTTCATTAAAAAAATACTTATTTAGACTTTATTATTTGACACTAACTGTGTCAAGTGATCATGACATTATCAAAATACATAGCTATTCCTGTGGTTTATTCTATCATTTTTATACTGAGAACTCTTCCCAAAATGTTATCTTCACTTTTATCTCCACCCTTTGCTCTATGTTACATTTCCAAACTAACTGCTGAGTATCTTCACATGATTGTCCCATCTGTACTTTAAATCTAACTGGCCAAAGGGGAATTCATTCTTTCCCACTCATATCCTCTCTCTCATCACTTTACTCCCAACCCAAGCAAACTCATCCTATTCTTGTGTTTCCTCTCTCTGTAATAGCAACTTCTTCAGACTATTTGGAGTAATTTTTCACTTTTTCATCTTACATCCAACAGCCAGTATTCTGCCAAGACAGTTTACCTCCAAAATATCTCTCAAATCTCCCCTCTATCATTTCCACTCCCAACAACATGCTCAAGTTCAGATTTCCACCATATTTCACTTGCATAATTACAGTAGCCTCTTCAGTGATTTCCTTATACTACATTCTGTTGCATTTCTACTTCATATTTTAGATTGGCTTTAGAAAGATCTTCCTAAATCACAGGTCATAAATGACACTTTTCTCCATGAAAGTCTCCAATTGCCTACAAAAATAAAATACCAACTTTCTATTTTAGCATATTCCTGCTCCAACCTATATTTTCCAATCCTTCCTTCCAGTAAATGATTGCTCAGACCTTACCCTTGAATACCAGCAGATTATCCACTGTTCTATGACCCTCACATACATGTTTATGTTCCCATGTCTTTGAGCAGACTGTTTTCCCATCAAGTGATGCCCTGTTGAAGTAACATTCATTCTTCCACACTCGGCTAGTCAGCATTACTTGCTCACGCTTCTATTTCTAAAAAAGATCTTTTAACACATTTTCTCCTGCTGCTCATTAAGGTTAGTAATGTACAAAATGTACTTGGGAGTCTGCCTCTTAATCCCTGCAAGTGATCATGTGACCCTCCAAAATACATCACTTCTCCAGACCTTCCCTACATGGTGGTGGTACACACAAAGCATGATAGAACCATATGTGATTATGGTCGCCTGCCTCCCACTGAGGCCCTTGATGACAGGAAGCAGTTTTATTTTTTGTCTCTTTCACAGCACCTAGTTATTCCCTCCTTGCATAAAATGAGCCATCTTTTAAAAAAATATATGGAATGCTCAGGAATTTGCATGTAATCCTTACACA